AAAAGAAAGGATGTGATGTTCAGAACATGGTAACTACAGTAAATATCCAAGTGGGAAGTGATGCCCTCTGGGGGCATTTGGCCAGGGGTGTTTTTACACCACAGACAAGGTTTGAGAAGAAAAAAATCATTATGAAAATATAATTATATATGTATAAATGTTCTTCCTAACTTTAGGCCTTATTCTCATGTCATATATAACTGTGATGTTCTGCAAAACAACAAGCTTTAAAACATTTTTTTCTTACTGGTGAAAATCAGATGGTCAAATCTGTTTTCTCTCAGGTACTTCGCAGTGTAAGCTTCACAGTGAACATTACTACATCACTCTCGTCAACGTAGTCCATATCAACAACAAAAATATATCTTGACTCCATATAGTGGTTATTTTGGGAAAATCCCAGGTATTTTGAGCAGTAGGATTATAAAAAATATGTGCTAATATCAAATTTAATTAAGTAGCCTATATAAAATTGCAAAATAAATCTATCTATCAGTACTTTTTTACTTAAGTACATAAAAAATCGAGTACTTTTGTACTTTCACTCGAGTAAAATTGAAAAAGGAGTACTTTTACTTTTACTGGAGTAATATTTTATTATACGTATCTGTACTTTTACTCAAGTACTTGATTTGTGTACTTCGTCCACCACTGATGTGTGCTCATTAGATTGCTCCATTAGCTTAGTAACATCAAAGCATATTGGAAGTATTTGTGGTTGTTTATGGAGAACGTTTCAAATCAGGCTTCATTTTAGTTAGCATGCCACTATAAAAGGTAGCTGCCTTCATAGACAGCAGACGGCGAGGCAGCTCACTAAAGCAGCTCACTAACAGTCTAGTCTTGACGGCAATGACAGGGTTCAAATGAACCGGCCTGCGGTGGGACAAAGCAGCTGCGCACATCGATTGGCCAGTGGTTGCGTCCTGCATACGGGTGCAATCACGCGCTAAGGGCCGTAACCCTCGCTGCATTTCCATATTGATAAGTCCTTGATAAGACGGCGTAGTGTGAGTCATTTCGGGAGACTGTTTCACCCCAGGCAGCCTCCATTCACACCTGTCTGAATATACATGTCCACTACAAGCCATCCATTCACACTTTAGGAGAATTATAAACAAGCTATCAGACGTAAGTCAGCAGTGAAATTGCATATCAGCACAAAGCGTTCGGTGGGCTGCTGTTCTGATATTGACTTTTTGTACCCCTTCAGCTTTCATAGCTGGAATTGCTGTACTGCTTCATAATAGAGTGAGCCGGCACCCTGTAAGCAGGTCAGGCAGTTTCAGAGCAAAGCAGTGAATGAGGAATAAAACTGAAAAAGGGACTGTTCAGCCAAAAATAAAAATTCTGTCTTTAATTATTTTTGTCCTCATGCTGTTCCAAATCCACATGCATTTTCCCCCCAAACATTCGCAAAAATCTTCATGCAGTTGATTTTCATGCAAAAATGTCTTGATGCATAACATTAAACATTAGGGACGCTCGCTCTAAATGCTAGTGTCTTGTTTGGATTCCTTATCATGTGACGTGGCCTTTCGCAACCCATCCGAGGTGTCTGTGATGCCGTGAGTAATATCTTGATCTTGAGTTAAGTGTTTTGTTGAAAAGTTCACTAATGCCCTCTTGCTGTGCATGCATGATGTCTGCTCTTTTCTGACCGGCCCCGTTCTCAGAGCCTGTTTTGCACAATCCTCGGCCTCATTCATATGCAAACATTTAGGATTCGGTACAAAACTTCGCTCAGGCGCTTACCGGGATGCGCTTTGCAATGTAACATGAATTAGTGTGACAAGCAAGGCGTATCCTGTCCAATTACACCATTGTGCTACACTCAATAACCGATAAATTAATCATTCAAGACAAGCGCATTATATGCAAAACGACTTGGGGCAACATATGGCTGCCTGTTTACGTAACGTGTAACCTGTGAGCTTCACACTGTTTCTGCTTCAGACGCGTGGCATGAAGGCAGCAGAGCAAACTAATCCACTGCACTCCTGCATTTGACTCTGTGTGTGTGTGTGTGTGTGTGTGTGTGTGTATGTGTGTGTGTGTGTGATTTCAAGCCCTTTAAAATCAACCCTCTCTTCCTGTCCAGTCATGTGGGATATCGCTTTCTCCCTCCATCTTTCCCGCAGCTTCCAGTGCAGTGCCACAAAATTCATCAGGCCGAGCGTATATAACAAAAATCCATGCCGTAAATGTGTGATTGTGACAGCGCTTGACATAAATCGGCGCTGGCAGCTTTTGAATGTGAAAGATATTTATGTGATGGGAGGCGGGCGCAGTGATGAGTCAGTGTCCGCGCACAAACACCTCTGTAATTGCTCATAAATTACAGCGCTCGGTGCTGATAGGTGGCCGTGACTTTGATGGGTTTCATCTTTCTATCAGTGTGAAATATAGGAGCGTGGTGAGCTTGCAGCGAGTGTCATGTGAGAGGGAAATGGCTTTGTTGCTCTTTGCTGATGGCTGTGCAGGGGCTTTGCTTACGTTTCAGAGGTGGTTTCTCTCTAATGATTGCATTAAGCCAGTGATTATTTGACCATTATATATGATTTAATAGTGAATTGAACAAACCCCTAACCATAATTATGAAGTCCGACACATAACATGTGCTGACTGATGATTGAGTGATACATGAATGATACTTCACATCATGTGCTAGTACATTTCCAAACAACCGATGTACGACCTGCTGGATGAAAATATTCAAGAAGGTAGCATGTCTAGAGATCTGGGGAACTGTTGACTTTCAGATGGTATCCGTTGGCATTAAGCGTATGTTTCAGACTCCAGATATCCATCCTTTTTCCGAACTAAGGACCCCATATTAAAGAATCAGAGTGTTAATAATGGATGCGTCTTCTCTCTCCACAGTGGACGGCTGTATTGACTGGTCGGTGGACCTGAAGACATACCGTGTGTTGGCCGGAGAGCCGCTGAGGGTGAAGTGCGCTCTCTTCTACAGCTACATACGCACCAACTACAGCGTGGCCCAGAATGCCAAGCTGCGACTCATCTGGTACAGGAACAAGGGCGACTCCGAGGAGCCCATCATCTTCTCGGGTCACCGGCTGAGTAAGGAGGGAGACTCCATTTGGTTCCGCTCCGCAGAGATGGAGGACAATGGATTTTACACTTGTGTGCTCAGGTGGGTCATTAGCAATTCAAACTCAAATTAAGTGTGCAGTGAGAAAAACACAGCCCAAAGAAATCTGCAATCTAACACTGCTGATGTGACCCACTGTTAGCTTGTTTACTTAGTAGGGCATGATGTGTCAAGATGAGCCCAGCATGAGATTCTGTTCAGTCGCAGCAGTTTTGAGTTTAATTGATCTGATTGTTTGTCTCTGGAAAATAGTGATCCATGACACTGGGTTACGTTCATTATCAAAGTTATTTTGTGTATATTTATTAATGAGGCATTTGTGGATTAATGTTAATGCTTTTAGATTTGAGGATTTTGGTTTTATTTTGAAGTGAAAAGATAAAATTAGACCCTTGGGGTAAGATGGGCCACTAGTGTTTTTTTTTTTTTAATTGAATACTTATTCTAATTAATGGGGTTATTATTTAATATTTCCATGAATTAGATGTACATTTAAGAGATATTCGCTTTCATTACAACCCGTAGGCTAATAGAGGAAAATCATTTATTACATTTTTCAAATTTAAATTCATATTGTTTCTATCATGACATACCTTCAATTAAAATATGGGCGATTAAATATGTAAATATTCAGATGCCTGTAAGTCATCGAATAAATTTAGCTTTCTCTTTTACTGGGATTCTGCTGTGTCTGTCTGTCGTCGATTATTCAGTTATTCAACTAATTTGTCAAAACACAATTTTAAGTAGAATAGTTGATTTAGGGGGTATTTTAGTAGTGGTTTCTATTTCTTTCTGTTTCTTTCAAGATCTTTTTGTGACACACAATTAGCAGCAGAGACAGTGCACTGTACTGTAAATTTAGAGCAACTGGACAAAGACCATGGAGATACAGTGTGTTTGATGAGTTATTTTATTTCCTTACAGAGCTATAGCCTTTTGTGTAAACCAGGCCACAGCCACAACTATTAATAGTCCTGCAGAAATCCAAAAAAGAAAAAGAAGAAAAATAATAATTATTGACCTATGGCCTACAGCTCACTCCCCGCATTGATTTTTGTTTAAATTTCTCAAAATCCAAAGACAAGTTTGCAAAACTGAGTTTCCCAAATAAGATGATGTGATATGACAGTGTGTGTGTGTGTGTGTTTATCAGGCAATATGCATGTCATGATAGCAGGTCACAGGCAGTTTTTTCTCTACGTTCTACACACACCGTTGAATCAAATGAGTCCTGTTGAAGAAGAAAAAAGCAATTTACACTGGCTTTACCAGGATCGCTGACTAGAGGAGAGCTCAAAGTATTGAAGAGTGCAGTTGCATTATTTTTCAGCTGTCAAAGAAAATCATGTTCAATCATGCATTTACTCAGGGAACTGTGTCTATATACAGTAGCTTAAACTGTTCTGAGTGTATTGTGAGAGTGACAGCATATTCAGCATAAGCTTGAGTTTTCACTGCATGAACCGCTGTCATGAACGTCTCCTCACCGCTGCGCTCAGGCACCAAATGCAGCCGCGTCGTGGGTGAAGCTGCTCTGATGTCTTCATGCGCTTCTGTGAAGTTAATACAATTTGGTTTCAATTTAAATCTAGCTCTGGGGTTTCATCTGACTCCAGTTTCAGATGATTATGCCATTTAAACTGAGATTTTGGTTCTGTTTTTAATGTATACGTTATTTGATTATACGAGGTATTCCTATACTTTTCAATTATTTGTTGATTAGGGAGCCGATGTCATGCTGTCCCGGTCGTGGATCTGATGGACACAAAATCGTTTGCAAGGTTTACTAATACCATTACGTTTGTCTGCTCCCTGTTTGCTCATAACAACACTTTCTTCAGGCTGGAATAAATTAAACCACGTCTGATATCTGAACTGATCTGAAAACACTAGGCGTCACACACCTGCTGGAAATAATTACACGCACACCTGTTCTCCATCAGGAGCACTATAAAGGTTGCTCTCTCACACACACTCACTGCGAAGTATTGTTTGCTACCGTTACATACCTAGCGTTTCTTGCTGCTTGCCCCGACCCACTGCCTGTGTTTGGATTACTCTTTTGTCTTGTCCTCCTGTTACTGTTCGCTGGTGATTGACCCTTGCCTGTGTTTGACTGCGCTGATACAATAAAGCTACATTTGGATCCGACCCTGCCTTCACGCCTCCCTGGCAGTGTTGCCAATCTAGCAATTTTGTAGCTAGATTTAGCGACTTCCCCACCCCTTCTGAGACTTTTTTTCAAAAGTTTAGGAACAAATATAGCAACTTCTTGGACAAACCTTATCTAAGATCTCATCTTGCCCACTGATCTATATTCATCTTCAGGGTGCGAACTACGGGGGAGCTAGGGGGAGCTCGGCTCCCCTTAATAAGACATGGGCTCCCCTGAAAACGTGATTTGTGAAATTTTGGGAGGTCTCAAAAAATATTGACAATGTGTTATTTTGACGTGCAATTTCAGTTTTGTGTAATGTGATCATCGTAGATTATTATGTGTAAAATTGCAAAAATATCATTAATTCATGCATGACAGCGATTTAAACCTAATTCACGTCAATAAAGATAACTATATATGCTATTCTTGTCATGAGCATCGAGGTGTGGGGGCGCTGCGGTGCAAATTCTACTCATGTTTAGTACATGTTAACTCAAAGATTCGTAGAAAAAATATAAACGTTGGACTCTGTGGTCGATTCTGTGTTAAGGTAAGGCATGTTATTCGCAATTATGTGTTGTGGCTGGGTTGTTAAAGGTCTGCGTGACTCTCGATGTCTTAGGCCTAATTGAACGGAGGAATTATGGTATTCTTCTGTAGCCTGACGACGAGTAACTTTAACCGTTTTTTATGTGAACTCAAAGACAGCCTGATGCTTTGTTTATAGACTATTTGTGGGTGGCTGTTTGTTGTTTCACCTATCAATTCGTGTCGATAAAGTATAATAGGGTAAATCCTGTATAGTGATTTATCCTATATAGCGCGTGCATAAAGCAAGTAGTACATACACTTATAGCTGTTATGTATCTTTGTAAGTCATTGTAAGCCCTCTTTTGAGGCACGCGCACGAACCCCAACACCCCCCCCCGTTATAAAAAACAAAAAACAAGTGGGCTCCCCCAAAGTCCACTGGTATAGTTCGAACACTGTTCATCTTTATATAGATCAGTGAATTTGCCATTATGATGTCATCTTGTGACATTGCGCTACCAGTTTTAGCTACTTTCAATTGAAAGCAGTTGGCAACACTGCTCCCTGGTTACAGCTACAGAGAAAAAACTGGTCATCAGTGTAGGGGAAGTGACTTAAAACCAGCTTTACAAACTATAAGCTACACATCATTTAGAGAAGTTCAACTATAGTTAAGCGAACATTGTGAAAGAGTATCTGCAACATTACAAGCCACTAACAAAAAAGTGGTGTAGCTTATTACTTTGACGCTACAAAGGGCGTTATGTATTTATTTGTTTGTTTGTCCATCAGATTACAAAATATTTTGTATATTTAAAGTAACGTATATGTGTTTATTTGTTCTGAAATTGGTATGTAAAGATGTTTGAATCCCTTCTCTCTGATCCCCATCATATGCTGAGAGATGCTGTGAAACAACACTAATCACATAATCAGAACACCTGATAAATAAAACTAGTTTTAGCTACTTTCAATTGAAAGCAGTTGGCAACACTGCTCCCTGGTTACAGCTACAGAGAAAAAACTGGTCATCAGTGTAGGGGAAGTGACTTAAAACCAGCTTTACAAACTATAAGCTACACATCATTTAGAGAAGTTCAACTATAGTTAAGCGAACATTGTGAAAGAGTATCTGCAACATTACAAGCCACTAACAAAAAAGTGGTGTAGCTTATTACTTTGACGCTACAAAGGGCGTTATGTATTTATTTGTTTGTTTGTCCATCAGATTACAAAATATTTTGTATATTTAAAGTAACGTATATGTGTTTATTTGTTCTGAAATTGGTATGTAAAGATGTTTGAATCCCTTCTCTCTGATCCCCATCATATGCTGAGAGATGCTGTGAAACAACACTAATCACATAATCAGAACACCTGATAAATAAAACTTAAAGTTATTGTAATTAATTTATTTAGTCGACAACAAAATTATTGTGCTGATTTTAATTATTTTTCAATAGCATCTGTCACCATGAACTTTAATAATCATATTCATGTTGTTTGCACTATACTTCAAACTGCTTAAATATACAGTACATGCTGAAAAACATACATGAAAACATGTCCTTCCCTAATTTTTACTGTTTTTACTGTCTGTCACACGGTCGTGGTTATAGTAAAGGCGCTTGACAAGGAGTAGACATAAAGGAGCTGTTTAATTAGCATTAACACACATTGACCATTCAAAGTAACGTTAATCCAAGACAAAGGAAAGACAGAAACTGAGGGCTTATAAAGACAGGGAACCAAGGAGTCAACAAGGTGATTAATACAACACAGGTGGAAACTAATGAATGATGATTAACTAAATGAGCAGGAAATTAACCAAATAGGGGCAAACAGAAACTAAACGGAAACACACACACGTGACACTAGGCGCATTTCCATTACAGATTTGCGCAAAACTTTGGCGATATTTTATAAATGTTGATAAAAAAGTATTGCGAAATGACGGCGTTTCCATTAATCAATGTTATGCGACTAAAGCGTAACCTTTTGCCTCTCGCGATAAGTCATGGCAACGGATTTTAGTGGGATTTTGGCTATATTTATTCAAAGGAGGCTTATGCGTGTATCTTTACAGAAGCAGCAAAGCGAGCCGCTTCAGAAACGTGCGTGGCGCGGCTGGAATAAACCATAGCCTGTATAAAAAACATAAACACAAGCATTGAGTGGCCGTAATCAGCTTCAGTGACCATAGAGCCACACTGCACCGCAGGCGTGTGCAGTGTAAATTGTCTAAGCATTAATGGTAGGGAAAGCCCCTTATACTGGAGGGCGGCCACTTATGACGTGTTTCTTGGAGGTTATAGTACATTAAAGAATGATCATATGACTTTTTACATAC